AATGTTGTTAGGGTTGCCCGCCCCATATTATTAGAAGCCCAAAAGGATAATATCTTAACTATAACTTGCCTGCAAAGTATCTCCTTATCCTAGAGTGAAAATTGTTTTCAGGAACATCTTGTGATGGTGTGGTTTCCAGCAGCTAAACAATGAGAAGGATGGGTGTGCGTTGGAGGTTCTCCTCGGGGTTTGGCCACTAATGTGCTTTCTGGCCACAGAGTCCCTCGTGATTGAAAACTCCAAATAACTCTGCAAGCCATGAATTCTGCCCTAAATTCCTCATACCACCAAGTGGTAATTTTCTTGTGTGTGAAAGGATATTGTGTAGAGGATTATTTCCCCTCTTAAAGTGTGATTGTGCTCCTATGCTGGAACATGCTCAGCAGTGACTTAATAGCAAAGATTCACAAATAAGGGAGTTAAAAGAAGGAAGCAACCAAATCCAGCTGGTTTTAGTGATTGAATTTAGTGCAGATGTAGTTTGTTTCTGCACTGTGAAGTGAATCTATTCAGAAGGATGTCCTCCTACGAAAACTTGTATGGAATTTTTAATAGCCACAAGTGGTCACAGCATTGTTTATACATCTTGTCTGAAAGCTGGAAAATGTTCCTATAATTAAATTTAAAAAAAGGGAGCATGTAGGGGGAAAGGAAGAGAGATAGCCTGAGAATATCCGTTGAGGCAAATGTCCTGAGACAATCAGATTTGTTCTCAGAGATGGATGTATATTATTTTAAAGGCCAGAAGAAACACGTCTCCCCATTCTGTGTATGGGCGAGTCTGTTTAGTTTTAAGCCTTGCATTGTGTAAATATCTTTACACTTGCAAGATGTTTCAACTGCAGCAAAATTAAATTCCATCTAATTGTTCTTTGCATGGAATGCAAATACTGAGGACCACCAAATTGGGACTGACACAGAAGAAGGAAAATATTTATCTTTATGAAACCAGAAAGTTAGTTGGGCAATGAGAGTCAGGCAGTTGTGTTGCTTCATAAGTAGGGTTACAGAATGAGTGTTTTGTCTGTCCTTAGGTATTGTTAGATGTTTGCTTTCTGCTGCCTGTGGATGTTTTACTGTGTCCTCTTGAGAGACTGAACTCTGGAGTCAGTTGAAGGGGTCGGGTGAGGTTGCTTTGGCTGGTGACTGAAAATCAAAAGGCTGAAGTTAAACTCAGGAGTTTTGGTTCATATAATACCATTGGAGACCTGGAAAATTATTTAAATTTTACTACTGAAAAAGGTGAAGATATCAGGACTTGGAAAGTACTAGGTTTGTCTTCTGTTATGGGATTTGCTCCTACTTTTCACTAACGTGTGGGAATTTTCTTTGCCAGCTGATCTGTTGCAGTTTTTTCTCAATATGTAAAAGCCTTTTTTTTTTTTTTTTTTTTGGGTGGCTTCCTCAAAAATGCTTCAAATTGAGAGTTGTGGGGTAATGCTCTTCTTTGGATAGTACTTGGGCTGTCCATAGTGGAAAATTATTTAGCAAAGTGGTATCACAGCTGGTGGACAATACACAGATTTCTGTGGGGAGCTGCAGTTTGTTTTTGTTTTCCCCATACACATTATAGTAAACAGACCTCTATCAAAAGTGTGTATTCCAATAAGTGTTTGTTTACAGGATATTCATATAAGTACATTTAGATCAGTTACAGTAATTGAACTCTATAGGCCACATTAGAATATATTAAACATTTTTCTGGGTTTTTTTCTGTTGGTATATGGTGGTGTGTTTTTGTTTCTACTTGGCCAAGAATATGATTTGTACTTTCAACAACTTTGTTCCTTGTAAATAAAATTTTAGTAGGTATATTGACTTGCTGTTTGGTGGTAGTTGAAGTTTTAGAAAAAGGAAATACTCTCCTTGTAAGTGAAAAGGTTTTCACAGAAATGACTTACTTAAGCACATTGTCTTTATTTAAAGATTGGAAGATATAATGGAAGGATGCTGCAGCTGCAGTTTATTCACTGTACTGAAGTGGTTTTGTTCTTTTTTAGTATTTAATGTTCTTGCTGACTCCTCCCATCCTCTCTACTTTGTGTTTAGATTGGTGAAACACCAAAAAACCAGAAATGACTCAGACAGGACAGCTCCAAAATTTGTTTTACAGAACAAATATGTGCTCTGTGAGCTCTTCTATGTGGAGGATTATGTGAACACAAGGTTGAAACAGCAGAAGTGTTCTTGCTGCTGGAGGCCAAAGGGTGGCTTATGGGTGGGGTCTCCCCAATCCTTGCCATGTACCTGCAATATTTGCATAGGACTGTAAAGATGTTTTAATGCACATTGTCCTTCAGTGTTAATATTTCAAAAGCCTTCATTGAAATACAGAAATACTGTTAATTTTTTTTTTTAAAGACACAGAGTCCAAACAACAGGGCAATGGATGTAAAGTCACGTAGCCTCCCAAGCAAACACCTTCAGCCTGGGCAGTTCCAGGCTGGAATGCCACAAGTAGGCTTTTAAAGAACCTTTTTTTTTTGGTGCATTCATTTTCCCCTGTTTTCTCACAGCATGAGCACAGCACTGGAGAAGGGAGGCAGTGATGATACACAAGGATGAGAATAAGGCAAACATCTTCACACAGGCCGGTTTATGGTGACTGCAGGACAGGGCACTGGGGAGTCATCCTGACAAATCATCCCTTCTCTGTGCTGGTAGTGTGAGGGGAAGGAAGATATTGTCTGTACCAATAGTTTCTGGAAGCTGAGCAGTGCTGTAACTCCCACTCAGTTATATCTTGATTCTTCTATTCTTATCAAAAGACACTGGAATCTTTTGGCTCTGATATTAATACCATTATTTAAAGATGTTGCATTAATGTGCAGTTTTATCTAAATGCCCTGCAAGTGCAGAATCTTCAGCAGACTTCTTGTCTTGCATCTGGCAGTTGGTACTTGATGTTATTTCCTAATGCAGGAGGCAGTCTGACTCCATTTAGTTTATTCCTTTTTTGTCTAACAGCAGCATTAATTACACTGGGAGGGTTGTCTGGGCTGCAGCTGAGATCAGAGGAGAGGAAAACACAGCAGACAGTCTCTGGGTGTTGTAGGAAAAGGACTGAGGAGTTTGATTTCTTTATTTTGGTGGGTTGCTTGAGCATAGAAAACTGTCACAATTTCACATTCATTCCAAAAAGCAATTTCACTTGTTCCAGATATTCCAAACCTGTCCCAAGGAGCCTTAACTGCACGGTAATGGAGAAGAAACAGCAGTGCCACTCACTGATGTGCAGCTTTGGGAAGGGTTTGTGGTAGTGACTAATCCAGAGATTTTGTAACTCAGCTGGAAGAAAAAGCAAGCACCATCTATGAATTCTAAATAATGGTTGAAATTATTTTCTGTTTGGATTCTGATTAGTATTTCCAGTTGCCAGTTAAGGTGAGAGTTACCAAAATGTCTTGCTGTGGCAAAAAGTTAAAAAATGAAGAACCCTTACTGATACTGGTGCTGCAAAACATTAATGTAATTTCACTTACAATACTGCAAAAATGCATTAAGGATATCAGAATGTGCTTCCTAGCTGAGAGAGTGATTGATTATATACAGTTTGCCTTTTTTATAATCAACATTGGGTAACAGTCTCAATTGGTTTTTGTTGTCAGTCCTCAGTTAACTAGTTGGAATATTTGTGGTGTGTGTGTATGTACATAGTGTGTGTATAGTCACAAAATCCCTTTAGCTTTGATGTTTTAAGATCTTAGAATATACATGTAATACAAAGATGTAATGTAGGAATGTCTATTTATAAGGTTTGATGTGAAAAGAATCTTAGCACTATTTGCATGCAAGGAATTTTTAGGAGTGGGTAGATTTCTGATGAGATAAAAAGAAAAAGCAGGTAAACATACTGAAGTCTGGTATTCGTTCAACAGAAAGCTGTCATTTCCTAAACTGGAAATAATTTAATCATGTTTGTATCTGGAGTAGTTAAATGAGATCATTTGCCATAATTACTTCATGTCTAACAAGGTCTGTTGCCATTTGGATTTTATGTTATGATTTGGATCCTAAAAGGAAAGGAGCTTCATCACTGGGTGTTGAAATAATCAATATATTTCATTATTAAGATTTGAACAGAGGCTGTGTTTCAAATGTGGGTTTAAAACTCACCTCTCAAGCTGAACTTTCTCTTTGTAGTCCTGGTGCTACACAACCTGTTAAATATGTATAGGACAGAGAGCAGTGGCTTTGGCCATCCCAGATGACTACACTTGTGGTGTGTTGCTGTTGGGACAGAACCATTTAAATACCTTATTAATTATTTTTGTTGTTCCATTTTACTGACTGGAAGGAAAAACTGTTCTATAATTAACGAGCTGTTTCCAAGAAAGCATTAAAACTGTTATTGTAGGATCATTGTACAGGAGGTGAATATTTGTGGTTGGTGTCTAGTGCTGTAGAGAGAAGCAGGGGAAAATTCCGGCCAAAGAAGTTTCTTGCTGGGGAACATCTGATGGCTCAAGAAAAGCAAAAGTTTTGTGCAAATAACTTTTGGTGTTTGAACTCAGCACCAGGATACACATCTTGTGTATAGCACTGGATATTCTTTGACTTTTTTCTCTGAAAGGCAGTCGTGCCTTTTGAGTCATAGTTCATTTATGTGAAGAATTTTGGTGTGTTACTGGTATAATAGGAATTATATCAGACTTGAATTTGGCAATTAAGCTGTAGAGCCAAATCTTGCCACATTGTATGATAACAAGATTCCTTTCATTGTCTGTCTGTCTTTTGAAAGATAGATTCTGTCCATAGTCATTCATTCAATTACCTTACTTAAGACTTTTGTAAAGTAGATTACCAATAAATTAGGTTTGGCTTTCATTTGTGGGTTTGTTTGTTTTGGTTTGTTTTTTTCCTGATAATAATCCCAGTTAAAAAAAAAAAAAAGTTCTGATGATTCATGTAAGCTTACTTTTCTTAATCAGTTTATTAAATTTTCTGTGATGAGGTGTGTTTGCAAATGCTCAAAACCTGTTCATTTTGCTCTGTTCCAGTGCCTGATGACCTCTCCATAGAAGAAAGAGAAGAGCTTTTAAATATTCGTCGCAGGAAAAAAGAACTGATTGATGATATTGAGGTAATTGATTTTTCTGTAGAGCACCTTGGAAGACTGCTTCAGTACATTAAGTTACAGTACTAGATATGAATTACAGGTAATGGTTTTAAAAGCATATAAATGGCTTAAGCTAAATATTACTAATATTGACTAGGATTTCTGTGTCATATGTGTGCTTTTACAAAGGGTAACTCCTGAGTTGACATATGTACAGATTTGATTTGTGTAACAAACAACTTAAACAGCAGATTTGCATCCAGAATAGGAGTGAGAGATCTGGATAAAGCAGTCTTATACTCTAATTGATAATGGCAGTTTGGGCTTGGTGCTCTGACATAAGCACACTCTGGGAGTTCACATCCATGTGTTTAACATGGTTGTGGTAAAATATTTAAATATCTAAGAAAGCCCTAAGATTCATCACTTTTCTTCAGGTAACTAGCAAATGTTAGAAAACAAACCCTAACTGATAATATTATTATATGATTGATGATTTCAAAAGGTGTTTTAATGTGAGTTAATGTATTGTCCTTCCTTCTTTTGACAGAGATTAAAATTTGAGATTGCTGAGGTTATGACCGAAATCGATAATCTGACCAGTGTAGAAGAAAGGTAAGTAATGCCAATATCTGGACATGATTAAGACCTTGGAGCAGGTCTTCCAGGAATAGCAAATAAAATTAGCTTTCTCATGCTAAACAAATATTGGATCACCTCTATTTAGTCCGTTATAAAGTCTCTAAAGCCTGACTTTGGCCTATGCAGATGTGTCATTCATTTGGATAGATAATGTGTTGGATAGAGTGTAATATTTTAGACTGTCCAGTTGGTCAGGACCTGGTTCTCTGAAGCTGCAATCCTTTGAAGGAATTGAAAATAGTAACGTAATTTCCTCCCTCTGTAACAAGTGAATGTCTTGTTTTTGTCGTAGAAGACAAAATACAAATCTTGTCGTAGCCAAAATACAAATAAAACTGTATCCAGAAGTTGTTGTTTTAGTAATAGAGCAACTAATAACAGCTTGTTGTTTCTTCTTTTCCTCCACATGTAGCAAAACTACACAAAGAAATAAGCAAATAGCCATGGGAAGGAAGAAATTCAACATGGACCCTAAGAAGGTAGAGCATTTTTCTCACTTGTCAGGAATCAGATTTTGCTTGTAATGTGATCTGTGACAAATTCATTCACGTTTTTCTTGAGACATTTCTGATAATGTGAGTCCTCAGGCCTTATTTGCACATCCTGTAACATACTGAGCAGAGGGTTAAATTGGGAGCAGTCGCCGAGTCCTTTGCCGGTCGTGTGCTTTTTACACTTAAGCAAACCTTTTTTGATAATGGAGGTTTACTTATCAACAATCAAATATACCAGGTAGTGATTGAGCTGGCTTGCTTTGTACCTGATAGAGTTGTTCTCCCTTGATATGTCAAATAGAATTAAAAACAATTTTTGTGTTTGGTTATTAGTGAGGCCATATGTAATTTTTTTTAATGCTCTCCTATTTTTTCCTCCAAAACACCCTTACCATGTTTTTTTTAATTTGTTCTCCTTCAGACTATTTTTGCATATCTAAACTCTCTTTGTGAAAAAGGCATGTGTTAACACCTGTATGTTTGTCTATGTATATACATATGGTTGTGTACCCATCTGACTTGTACAAACCCCTGCAGGCAAGAACTTGGTTACCAGTTTCAAGAAGTCTGTTGTGCATTTAGCCAAGAAATAAAGTAGTTCATTTCTCTGGAGTGCCTCTATGTTTCTTAAATAATTGTTAATTTTCTGGTAAATCTGGGGACCTGCACATTTTCTTAGAGGCCCTCCTGATACATTTAAAAGAGCTACTTTGACATATTTGACTTCTAGCCTTCTCACTTTTCATCTTCCTTGCTTTGTTTTATTGTCTTCTGTTGTTTGAGATTCCATTTTGAATTTGTCTTTTTGGAAATCATTTAACATTTGTTTCTCTGTGTTCTTGACATGTTTTCTTCCCAATGGTATTGAATTCAGTTACATTTTGGTGGCCTTTCTGAAATGTTCCAAGTACAACGGTGGCTTCTGTTCTTCAGGATGTTTTCAGTTTGCCAGAAACTCTCAAGTATTTTATAAAGAGCCCTTTTTAAAGTGCTGGCCATGTCTTTTATTTTTGTTTTCCATTTTGTTGACTACCTAACTTCTGTTGAGGGCAGAACACCCCCAAATATCCTGATAGTTTGTTGTCCTTCAGCTCTTTCATGTCCTAGAAGTTTGTGGCAAAGTCACAGGATGATGTCAGATGCTTCCATTCCAGCGTTAACTATTTTCTGTTACTGTTCTCGCTGGCTGAAATTATTTCTATAAATAGATACTGTGGCCACATTGCTACTGTAACATAATTTAAATGTGGTAAACAGACTCAGAGTAGTAATTTCTTAATAATGTCTGTGGATCAGCGGTGGCCTGCAGGAGCTGGGTCATTGTGTTGTTTGCAGCTGCTACTTTAAGTTAGAGAAAAAAATATAAGTCCTAATGTTGGGAAAACTCACTCGGGTTCATTGTGAAGAGGATGTTTTTCATTCATAAATGGGAGGGAAGATGGTCTCTGGAGTTAGGAATGCCAAAGAACTGGGGTAATGATACTTGTGCTGAATCCACTGAGTCTTCTCCTTTAAAACCAAGTAACAGAGTTTTCATGTTTTCATATTAGCAGGAACACAGTGAGGTAATTTTCTTTTACCACTTTCTATTTGAAGATCTTTCTATGTTCTGATGCATGTGTAGAGCAGTTCTCCCTTTCCCCCCTCTGAAAATAGCTCTGAAAATAGTGTTTAATGCAGTTTCCTGATGTAGTATCACATACTTGGGGTTTGCTCAGCACGTGTGGGATGGGCTGTAATGGTAAAGTCTAAAACACTTCAAGAATCCCTATGCAGAGACATAAAACTGTGCTTGAAATGTGCAGTGCTCAAGTCAGAACTGCCTTTGCTGAGCCAGGAAGTGAATTCTCTGTGACAAAGGCTGAGTTTAAAGAGCTGCAAAATCTGTAATTAAGTTACCGTGAAAGCGACGAAATTCAAAGCAGATTTCATTGCATTGACTTAAATCTATGCAATATTTGTAGTGAATATTGAATATTTCTGTAGCCAGGAGTTTTGTGTGAGGAAGTTAAACTAGTGCAGCTGTCTCTTGTCTCCTGTCAGTCTAGAGAATAAAATTTACATCAAGACAAAAGATAGCGTAGGAGGTGATGGGGGCTTGGCTGGCCCATTTTGCTGTTTATTCCAGATGCTGGAGTTGTTGTCCCAGACAGATTCCTTTTCCTGTCTATTTGACTTCTGGTTCTTTAACATCTTAAGAATAATTAAAAAAAAAAATTAAATTGATTTTTGCAGTAAGCTAAAGTATCTGCTTCTGTGTACAGAAATTTGTTTTCCATACTTCTGGTCATGTCCATTATCAGTAACTTGTACAACTTTAAGAAAACTATTCAGGTCAGTCTATTTATACTGAGCGTGAATAATATGGTCCAGGTGTTGGACAAGGGAATCTGCTGTTCCTGATGTTGTTACAGGGAAGGTTCTCTGTTGGTTGACAGAGCTTTTTGGATAACTTGGTATGGGAAAATCCACTCTGTTTTGTAGTCAGATATTGTATAAATATTTAGCTATCAAATAAGTTTTGTAAGGATCAATTTCAAGGGAAGCTCAGCTATTTCTGCTTCAAGGTAAAATAGAGACATTCTTTGCAAAGAAATCATGTCTGTTGTGAAATGACTTATCAAAATATTCAGTTGTCAGAGTAGCAGCCTGGCATTGAAATTTTCAGATGATGATAAAATTGTTTAGAGAGAATTGCATTCCAGACTTTCTAAAGAAAGCTTCAAGCCTTATAACATCACGGTTCATTTTCTTTGTTAAATTAGGTCAGAAAATTGACTTTTTTTTTTTTTTCTGTCAGACAGGTAATCATTTTATTATCAGAAGCTAGAGTTAGCCAAACAGAAAGATAATTACTTTTTTGAATGTTACTAGGAGGCCACCTATGCTATGTCAAAAAATAATGGAACTTTTTCAGTTGTAATGAAATAAAAAAGAAATATATTCCGCTTGCAGAAATTGAAAAACTTTTGATAATTCTGAAATATTGTGGTAGAACTTATTAGTAATAATTTATTAACCTCTTTTGTACATACTTGGAATGCAAGACATTAAGGTTCCTTGCAGTTCCCATTTCTACTTTTCACTAGCATGCTGTTAACAGTTTTAAGAAATCAGCAGGAATAGCAACATCTTTGGGGGGGGAAAAGAAGTTGGTTCTGTCTTCGTGACCTGCTGAGTGTTGGAACATCATCCCTTCCATCCTTCACATAATCTTTATATAACTCTTAGTCTCCTTTCTTTGCTGCTTTGCAGAAAGTTCCCTGGGCTTCCCCAGGGCGTGCCAGTGGTAGGGCAGTAATTTATGGAGGCCCAGGAGTGAGTCCAGGGGCTTTATCAAGTTCCCTCTGAGGGCCAGGGTAAGACTCTCCCCCTGCCTTCCCTAGCAGCTCCATGGTAGAAGCTTGGCTGGTTCCTGAGCAGTGTGTGATAGTGTAGCTCAGTCCCTTGTGAATAGTTTAGTCCCAGCACAGGCAGAACCCTCTGACAGTCCCAGTGTCAGCAGAAACTCCTTTAAACCGGTTTTGGTATCTTCAGCTGCGACTTCTACGGCAAGTAGTGGCTTGATGTATTGGGTTGCAGTTTGTAGATTATAACAGATGCTTTATTTCGTGTCATGGTGGTAATTAAGTTGTTTCCACGTACCTCTTCATTATATGATTTTGCAGATTACGTCTCTGCAGACATTTCTGCAAGGGCCAGCTCACACATTAACTCCAAAGAGCAACATGGAATCGTTATTCAATTAATATTTGATCTTTCTGTTGTTGAGGGATTCAAACTGCCACCTAGTACTTCTAGCCTTAAAAATGTTTCTCATTTTCATCTTTAAACCAGTACTATATACTGCTTATGTAACTGAAAAACATTTGTTTGGCATTTCATTTAAAAACATAAAAATCTGTAGGTTAATGTAATTAATGTGTCTGTGTAAGTACATTAATACCAGATGTTATGAGTGATATTTACATAAATGCTTGTGGAAGAAAACATAACATTCCTTTTCCTCTGGAATTGTTCTTCCTAGGGAATACAGTTCCTGATAGAAAATGACCTCCTGCAGAACACTGCAGAAGACATTGCACAGTTCCTTTATAAAGGAGAAGGATTAAATAAAACGGTAATTGGAGATTACCTCGGTGAAAGGTAAAAGAGAAATATTGAAACTTTGTTCTTGAGTTTACAAAGCATATTTACAGGCTTTGGGTAGTTACCTTCCCCTTCACAGGCTGCATGAGAGAGCTACTCAACTACTCTATAAAAGCTACAGTGAGATGTGAAACTGCTGCAGCATTGTGATTGCGTTTTTTTCCTGTAGTTTTTAAATGGGTACGTTGTGGGATGATGCTTAATTAGCTGTAATTTATTATTTTAAGAAAACACTGAAATTTGGCTATAGTACAAAATTAACACTGTAAGCATTTGGAATGTCTGAGAGTTGTATTGCAACAGTTCTGGTACCTCTTGGTGCTGTGTCCAGAGTAGAGTGATTGACAATCAGTAATAATCAGACAGTAAAGAAATTACTTATTAAAATGGGTAGTCCCTGAGACAATAGTTGTTATCAGGTTTTAGTGCTGTCATCTTCCCTGCACAGAGACTTCCCATAAGTCAGTAGGTGTCTCAAAGGGCATCTGCACCAGATCTTTATCAATTCTGGTACAATAAACATGCAACATGTGTATTAATGGAACTATTGCAAAACACAGCCAGGATGCAAATCACTTCCATTGCTGTGCAACCCAGGAATTGATTTTGGAGAAGGCAGCTGAGAGACAAGCAGTGCAGGGTGGCTTGGAGTGTGTGTGTGACATGCTGGCACATGTTCAGGTGCCAGTTGTGGAGGTTTAGCAGTTGACTCATTTAGGATAAACTCCTGTGGGGATGTGTTGTGGCAGATCCCTTTTGAGACACCTCAGTCTGCTTTACAGCATCAACAGCTTGGTTTGTGCTCAGCAATTTCCTCTTGACATTTAGGTTTAATGGAAGTTTTTACTGTAATAAATACCTTTTGAAAAGAGATCTTCACTATGGAGTCTCTATACAGAATATGTAGACATGTCAGCAATTTTTATACAGCAGAATTGTGTTGCTTCTCTTGAATATTTGGGCAGTCAGTATTATAAAATCACTTAGAAGTTAATGTCCATAATTGCAAAACTATAGCATGTATAAAGCAGTCTGTTCTCTTCTGAGAGCTACACCTTGGTATCATCTTCTGAAACACTTCCAGTTTCTCTAGCCCTATTCCCAGAACCCTGTGCTCATGCAGAAAGGTCTTGCCAGTATGTCCAGGCTCACTGGAATCATTAATAATATTCATGTGATTTATTTTTCTTTTAAATGGGTGCACATTTAAAATTTAAAAAGCTATTGCTCATTCTGCTGCTTCCCTGGCAGGGATGGTGGACAGCACTGTGGTCTAATGTGACAACACAGGGCAACCTTTCTTAATACTGAGTATGTAGAGAGAGAAATATGCAATTCAGTCTTATCTTCTGAGTTTTTCAGGACTTACATACCGGTAAATTTAGTGATCACACTGAATAGCAAATTCAGCCAGGATATTTTGTATAGATCTATGAACTGGAGAATAAGATCTTGGGAGAAATGAAAAAAATTGACACACTGCTCCTATTTTGCCACAAGGCAGAAGCAGTCTGTCCATTTTAAAGAGCAGTTGAAATCAAAAAGAAATTTTAAAATATCTTCTGCTTTGAAAGGAGCTTTTATTCAATGTATCCAGTCAGTCTACATAAATTGGTTTTTTGTGTGTTTCTTCATTTCTGTGAAGGGTGGAATATTAGCATGGTAATGGGAAAGCAAATGGTATTTCTTTCTATTTTTTTCTCTTCACATATATGAATTAGTAAGGGGGTGGCAGTGAAGAGATGACAATCTGATTATCATGAATGTGTATGGAAATTTCAAGGTAGCTGTGTCTGGAGTGGGGAATTGGTTCATCATACTCCGTTGAACTGCAGCATTAATTTCCTAGAATCCTAATAATTTTTATTCATGTTTCTCTGAAAAGAATGTATTAAGCCTTTAGGTCCTGGGATAAAATAAATACCCTGAGATAAAATAAAATGTGACAATTGAGGTGTCTTAAGCTGCTACTTTTGCCTTTGTGACTCCCTCAGAAACAGACTATCAAGTGATTTGTGCTGTGTGAGTGGCAGAGCATATTAGAGATGAGCTTTTGCTGAGTTACACACTAAACTTTTGTCAAGGCATTTGGAGTCTGAGGACGTTCTCTTTTACTTTGCCACTCCCTCTTGGGGGCCCATCATGAATTACTTCTGCATTTTAGCTAAATATAGCTGAAGACAAGACCAGGATAGTCAACAGAATGAAATATTTGTATAACATTCTGCCATAAAGAGATATATTTTAAATTACTGACTTTTATAGTCTTATAGCACTCAGCAAAAAAAAAAAAGTGAATGGTAAAATGGAATGAGATAACACCTAAACAATTACAATAAATAAGGAATGAATTACATCCTATAAAAGATTTAAGATTTATTTCTGTGTAGGTAAGTCCTCACTTATATTTTTAAGTGGCTTCCTAGACCTTTTGTGTTATTTGGCTCATGTCCTTGGAGGTGTACCCAGCACAAGTATCAAAAACATATAAAAAAAATCAATATATTTTGCTTAGTAGCACCCCTGTGGATGTCTCTTTTGTTACACTGTGATGCCACTTCACTGGAAAGCAGTCGCACAGTTGGACTGTGCATTGCCAAATTTGATGAGAATTGCTTTGATTTGCTTGGCAGAGCTGGTGTGCTTTTCTGTAAACAATGTGGGAACATCCCAATGAATGAACAGTTGGCTTTAAGGTATTTAGTGGTGAGTGTTACAGGTTAGTCTGACTATGCAGTTAGTCAGTAATGCAACAGATAATTCTTGGGGGTACACACCTTTCTATTTTCAGGTGGAGGCTGATATGCAACATTCTGTTTTGGTGATGTATTTAAAGCACACCCTGAGGATTAGAAACCTCTGTGCTTCTGGCATATGAACTCAGTGATGGTGCAGGCTAAATTCTGTCTGCATCCAAATAGTTTTATGTCCATTATTGTTTAAATGTTATTTTGCATTTAAACACCTTTGTATCAAGCAAAGCATCATTTGGCTCGTGATTTACATAGAAATGTAAAAGATGGATTGAGAGGAAGCTTGTTCAAAACCTATTCTGATTTTAGTAAACTTTCATTGTAACAGTTTTTGAGAATGGAATAAGAATACAGTACATACTAAGTAGCTTTTTTCAAAAGCTGTTCTTTATCTTGGATGCAATCAGTTGAAGCATTTTTGTTTATTATCTTTGTACATAAATTAAGATACTGCTTTAATATTTTCTGTTCTTAAAGGGAAAAATGATAGTTTGTTTTTCATGTGCTTTATGGAGAAGAAGTTAATTTTCCATTGAGCATTGTTTAGGAGTTCATGACACAATGAATGAATTCTTTCTGCAAAAGCATTTACCAAATACGTTTGTCGGACATCATCAGGTGCGGTAATAATAAATGTGAAGCAAAGAAAGCCAGGCCATTTTGGGGTAATTCAAATAAGCAGTTCTAAAATCAGTTTCAATGCACTGCCTCTTGTTGATCTACCAGAAAAAATGGGCAAAATAGTAGTGTTAGATATTAAAATACCTCTAAAATAAACGTGTAGACTATTTCTGAGGACTTTATTTGATCAATATGATTGTCTATTTCCTTGCTTACTCTTGGAAGCAAAGAGAGATAACTAACAAGAATTTTAAGTTCAGAATTGTAATTGTCTTTTTCTTCTTTTGTTTCTCATAGAGATGAATTTAATATTAAAGTTCTTCAGGCTTTTGTTGAACTCCATGAGTTCGCTGATCTCAATCTTGTACAAGCCTTAAGGTGAGTAAATTCTCTCTGGTTTTTGACCTGAGCTTCCTTTCATCAAATTGCATGTTCATATGAGTCACTGTGTTGATTTACTGGTCAGAAAGCTGCTCTACAGCTCAGCACAACTGTACTGAGCATTACTGTACAACTGAGCAGAGACAGCTCTGTTTAACCCTTCCCGTGGCTTGTTTGTGTGCTGCCCTTGGGGTGACAACCTGATTATTTCAGACAAATACAAGCAACTAAAACATAGCTGTAACTCCTTGGTGTTCCTGCCATGGGGACATTTGAAGATCTGTTTTAAATCTTAGCACAGAGATAGGTTAAAAAAGAAACAAACTCTTTACTAAACCAAATAATTTTCTTCCTCCTTTCCTTCCACCTCAACTTGTCACTCTGGGCATGGAGGGGGAGAAATCCCCTGGCCATAATCAGTGGTGATGTTCAATTGCAGAGAGATAAACTTTGAAACAAGTGCTTTCCTTGTACTTCCCTCAGAGTTTCCCACTTGTCATGTGAAAGAGAGTGTGATATCTCAGTATGTTTTTTCCCCTTGCTAAATGAACGGTTCACTTGATTTCTCTGGGCTGCTTGAACACAGTGACCTTGTGAGGTCCCTTCTCCTCTCGGTGAAAATCCGTAACAGATCCAGCAAATTAAGTTGACTCAGACAGTTCTGCCTGTTCTGTTGCCGCAAGTGACTCCCTCCTGACACCAGATAAATGGGAATGTCCGTGTGATCCTTGTTTCTGGGGCAGTGCCTTGTGATGTGGAGTCAGAACAGCTTTGCTATGGTTGAGTGATGTGGTGATGATAACTTGAGCTGCCTGAGATTTGAGCCGAGGAAGCCTTTTCTGTGGCTGCTGAAGCTTGTCTGGGAGGCTTCGTATTCCTCTCCCTTTTACCCAATTTAACGTTAGGTTTGACTTTATTCTTCCTTAGCAGCTGCTACTATTAAATGTTTGTATTTTGGTAGCTTACAAAATTCGTGGTCTGGAACGTTGCACGAGGTGAGTAAAAGAGTATCTAGAGCTGACAAACTAAAGATGGCCTGTGACACTTTAATACAATGTCCTAAAATGAAAACTGATGAAGACAGGAATAAATTGTTATTATAGTGGCATCCAGTGTACAGGGAATAGCGAGGACTTGTTTTGCATGGCAGAGCATGTAACTTTGCTGGTTTAGACCCTGGTTTAATTCAGATAATTCTTTTGCTAAGAGATAAAAGAATAAATGATGAAATTCATTGGAACTTTTCAGTACCACGATGTGCCAAAAGTAAATTTGTGAAGACTTCTGTCCTGTATGCATTCCAGTGTACCTACATGTAGAAACAGTAAACCACAAAAGTAAACTCTGTATTCCAGTTCATGATGCTAAAACAGCAGCACAGATCTGCTGCATATATTACAAAATTACTGAAATCTTAACATAAGTCATTCTTTTTAAGACCTAGGTCTGAGTCTTGTAGGGTGAACTTAATGTAGACAGGCAGCATCTCTCTAAGCACTGGGTTTTTCTTGCTGTTGTTACTGTTTTTAAAATGGTTTTGATGAGTTTCAGTAAAGATGTTAAGTCTTTTTGTATTCCTTGTTTCTCTCCCCTACCAGAAATATTTTGTGTAATATGTCTTTTTACATTGTAAGTAAAGTCTAGCTGACTGTTCATTGCTTTTTGTAGCCAGGAAACCCAGGGAGGATTGAACTCATTTTTTTTTTTCCCCTCATAGCATTCTCATGGCAAAAATGGGATGCATACAGAAAATTGTTTACCAGTCTGGAAAAAAGAGAGAGCCTCAGAATATGAACTGCCATATTATCTTGCCTGATAGCATGCAGTGTTGCTGGCTGAATTTCTGGGCTAGCCATCTGTGCATGTTGCTTTATAATAGCTCCTGACTTGTGTGTTGAGAGATTGAGAACATATTTCTAGGACATTCGATATAGACAGTGCTGATTTTTTTTGTTGTTGTTGTTTGTTTCGGATTGTTAGTAATATATGCTTAATATATAAATACTGGAATGTGTAACAACTATTCTTCCCTTCTGTAGGCAGTTTCTGTGGAGCTTCAGACTCCCAGGAGAGGCTCAAAAAATTGATCGTATGATGGAAGCTTTTGCTTCACGTTATTGCCTTTGTAACCCAGGAGTCTTCCAGTCTACAGGTTAGTCACAGGAGACAGCAGGGGTTCTTAAGTACATATATGATCCAAATATAAATTAATATATATGTTCTTGTACAGCTGATGCAAGGAGACAATGGCCAGTTTGGAAATGCAGGTTAAAATAGTATGTGAAATGAGAAATTTCTGAAAACTGAGAAAACGTGACTGTCCAATCCATACAGTGCAAGCTTATGGTTAGAATGCATTTCCATTTATAAAACTTCAGCATTAATATATATCTAAGTCAATTAAAGTATAAAGCACACTTCAGAAATGTCGCCAAAGATTTTGTCAAGGGATTGGAAAAGAAAGATTCTCAGTCAGGGGTTTAAGGGCAGAAGAGACCAATAGGTTGGATGATCTCATCTGTCAGTTATGAGGACTTTATACCTCACTATCTCTGTATCAAGTCCACCTATATGTGGCTATAGTGTATTATCTGGAAAGTCATCCATTCTCTTTAGCAGTCTGCTCAGCAATAACTGATCTCAGTTAGAAATGCATCTGTTTCCCACTGAGTTATTTGGTTTGGGATTACTCAGATCATAAAAGCTACCACAACTTTGTGATACTGCCCAGAATGCTGGGGATTGTTGGTCTGTTTGGTTTTAGGCACACATAGTTTGCTGTTTATCACTTAATTTGAGGAACAGATAGGCTAGGAAAAGGTTGATGTCTGCAACGTCAACTGTCTGCAACAGCTAAAGAGGAAAATACTGAAAACAAAATGCTAAAGATGCATGAATATTTTTCCTCTATGTAGCAGAGAGGTTTCCATTCTTCTTTTCTTACACAGAATCTTGTACTTGAACTCTGGGAGAATTTACTATAATCATAACCATGTCAAGGGGCACAATAAGATTTCCTTTGTCGTCTTCTGATATTATCCAGTAGTACTGGCTACCTCCTCTATGCCAGGGAATTGAGTCAGTGTCATTTTCAGTCTTTCTAAATGCAATTCAAAATATTATTTTGAAGAGACAGTTCTTTCTCTTTGGAGAAAGCTTTGAAAATACTTTGAGTAGGAGGAGGCTGATTGACCAAGTTTATTATAGGATCTACCACATGATCTAGGCAGTCTGCGTGCAGAGAACATTTTGCCCAACAACACTTCTGTGCTTTAAGTGAAATGCTAACTTAGGGTGATAGCAATGATTTCATAGAGTTAATTTTTTTTTTTTTGGATTCTCATACTGTTTTTCTCATACTGGCTTTTAATTTGAAATGTAACATTTTTCTTCTTAGGCTTACTTCAAGAGTTTAAAGAAAGATTTGAGACTTTTATGTGCAGTGTTCAGGATTTTTTGACTACCTGTTTCTCTTTCTTTGTCAGTGAGGATGAGCTGTATATTAATGTTACAGCTTGGTGCCACAACACACAGACAAACCATTTTTGCACCTCTGATTTCAGATACGTGCTATGTGCTCTCGTTTGCCATCATCATGTTAAACACCAGCCTGCACAACCACAACGTGCGGGACAAACCGACCGTGGAGAGGTTCATCTCCATGAACCGGGGAATTAATGAAGGTGGAGACCTCCCAGAGGAATTGCTACGGGTAAGACAAGGCATGGCTGGTGTTTTCAATAGCAGACTTAAAAATGTGTGCAACAGTTCTCAGGCAGATTTGTCAAGGGAAGGCGAGAGGAACATTTTCTAGCTTGCATAACCACTTGAGTAGCTGAAAGAAGCTTTTTGTGATATTCACTCGTTCTCCCTATATTCAACCTTTTGTTGAGGAGAGGAGATTTCAGAGAAAACACTCTCCAGTTTGCTGATGGCAAAATTCTCGTGGAATTGGCTTCTTATGAAAAAAGTCAGAGAAAACTGGAAAAAATAGTAAAAATAATTGGTTATTGCCTCTCATTTCTTTCCATGTGTGTTGTGGAGCTCCCTCCTGTCCCTTGGAATATGAGTAAAAACATGTATTGTAAGACAGTGTGATGGCCCACACCATTTTCTGAAAACCCAGATTCATTTGGCAAAACTTGTTCTAAATGAGACCTGATGCTGAAACCTTTGAAATGCTGAATGCTGAAATTAAATTAAAATATCTTTGCTGGGAGTGCTTATGAAATTGGTACTAAAAAGAGAGACTTGTTTACAGATGAAATGGTTTAAAATCGAACTTAATGGAAGTCATAAAGACTGGGGAGGGAGGGTCCAGTGTTTGATTGACAGTATTTCCTGTGCTTTTAATACAAACAGTGTGAGAAGCAGTAAGATATCCTGGTTGCATTTTCTGTTAAGACATTTATTAATGAGGTCTTTTTCCTTTCTTTTTTTTTTATTCTTCTAGAATTTATACGAAAGTATTAAGAATGAGCCGTTTAAAATTCCAGAGGATGATGGAAATGACCTAACACATACTTTTTTTAATCCAGATAGAGAAGGTTGGCTGCTGAAATTAGGTTAGTCACAAGGGCAGTTGTGCTGCTGGGTGTTTGTTCATTGTTAGCATGTTTGCTGCTTCCATGTTTATCTGCTTTCTTGGGAAGGTAACAGGATTAACTTTGCATTTAAAAATGGATGAACCACAATAAGTAGCTCCTTTACATCTGAAGGCTGTTACTTCTTATTTTGTGTACCCAAATTAGCAATCTTGTTTCAGACTTTGGAGTTTTATTTCTGAGATACGAGAAATAAAAACTCGGCTACAAAAAGGAAACACCACATGGTATTTACCACATGCTGTGACTGATAAATAACAACTAAGTCTCCATAAGGTCATTTCAGAAAACTGAGTGATACTTCAACTCAGTTTTCTGTGTACAAAAAAAGGATTTCTCCTCAAATGGTTATTTTTGTATGTCTTTATTTTTCCATATTATTTGTGAGTTTCTCTTGGTTTGGTTTTGGCTATGATTTTTTAATGAGTGGTTTAAATGTGCCTTCTTGTTTTCCTTATGGCCTATGACCTATCACCTTTCTGTTCTGTGACTGGCTGTCTCTGCTTATTCTGCATTAGGAGGTACGTATCTGATGCTTTCCAGTCCCCTCTTCTTCAGTTGCTCATTCTTTTATTTTCTTCCTCCTGCCTCCTGGGTTTTTTTCGTTTCTTTTTTTTTTCTTTTTTTAATCAGGTTTGTTGTAGCATTTTGCTTTTTCACTCAGTGTCACTAACAGTGTCATCAGTGGTGCTCTGGGAGACTGGCATGTCAGTGTCTAACTCACATGCGGGTGTGTTCTGCAAAGGAAGAAAGTGTTTACATGTAAAGCAGAAAAATAAGGATGACTCCAGCATACTTTCCTTACTCATGGAAGAACACAACAAGGACAGAATAATCTCTGCTGAGAGTAAACAAGTCTTACTCTGTCATGAAGTTTCAGAGTGATTTTGTTGCTTGTTTATCGATGATACTATTGAAAGATGGATTACATTTGAACTATGTATTTATAAAAACTGTTCTTTTTCCTGTTTATTTTCCTCTCTAAATAACACTAGCTTACTGAACAGAGTCTTAAATGAGCTTCAGATTTATGGTTGTGGAAACCTCTGATAGTTCAGTCTCCTGGCACTGCAAGATGCCCTTGTTTACAGACTCCTAAAGTTGATGCAATTCAGTTTTTTACTTGGCCATGGGGAATTTTTTTCCTATATAAAGGAGGCTGACATTTAAACACCAGTACGCACTCAACAGAACCAGTTGTTGGCCACTTTAATGTATTAAGTGCTTGTTAAAGTGGAAGAAACTTTGCACTTGGAGAAGGTGACTGAAGTGTGCAAGGGGATGTATGCACGTGGGGAGGATGGGCAAAGTAGAGCCTGGATAGAGCCTTGGGCCTACTCTGCTGATTGCACCTGGAAATCAGTGGTCATGGTTGTGCTGGAAGGAAATGGATGTGAAAAGGAAGCATTTGGAATTCATTCACATGCTCTCCAATGTCGCATTTTGACCTCTGTGCTACAGATGCTGTGGAGCTCTTTGTCTTCCTAACTACAGAAGAGCAAAGCTCTGGCTTTTTGATGTGCATTGGCTCTGCTGGCACAGTTTCAAACATGACTTTGCAGCTTTTATTCATTTTATAGTATGAGTTGATAGCTTTTCAAGCTGATGGAGATAGAATGTGCTTCATGGAGAAGAGTTTGGGTGTCAGCCCATGCTGTGCCTATTTCTGTTCCCAGTGCTCTCTCACATACCTACACACCTACTGAGAGTGCCATCAAATGTGAGTGTGTGTAGAGGAGTGACAGCATTCCTCATGGAAGAAACTGTCAATAAAAGACATAAAAGAGATCTAATAAAAAATAGAGGAACAAAGAAATTGAGGAAATAATGACTGAAAACAAGTGAGAGCTGCCAGGTGCTCCTGCACATTCTGGCTCTGGTGCAAGGTCAATAAACCAGAGGTCAGTACTGAACAGTCTGCCTGAGTTTTCAGTATATACAAGGTAGATGAGAGCCAGTGCACAGAAAACCCAGTAGTAAAAGGGTGTGTGAAACAGGAGGGTGTTACACATAGCACTCCCACAGGGTGAGAGTTATTTGAATAAAGAAATGAAATGTGTCCAGAAGCCTCCGGTGAATCAGCCTGGAAATGCCTGGAGCTGTGCTTCCATGAAAGACTGCATTTTTTTCAGCAGACACAGACTGGTACAGACAAATACACTGCTAGTTTAGATGCAATGACCAGAAATAAACCTGGCAGGTTGTATTTTTTTTTCTCCTTTCTTTCTTTCATCTCCCTTGAGTTTCCTATTTGCCAGGAGTCTTAAACTGTATGTTGAGCGTGCTGTCTCAGTCCACACTGTTTGCATTTTTATGGTCCTTTCTGTTGGGAAACATTCCTTGTGAAATGGGTAGAGTTTCCTTCAGTTCTGGAAGATTCTGATAGTAAAAGTGTCAGTATTGCTGAAATGCTAAGGAGACTACTCCTGTATGAGAGCTTAAGTGCTCAGTTGTGATAATACATAAAAGTTGAAATAGAAAGTTTTATGTAAAACTATAAACATGACTAAGACTACTTGCAGACCCTGAGTATATCAAGACACTATTTTGTATCTGGTATTTCTTACAGTCAGCTCTTCCCGTTTATCTACTTGTGCCCCTTTTTTTAGTATTCCATCTCTCACTATATTGATTTTCCTCTGGGCCGAAGATGGCTATTGTGAAACTTTCATATGTTGTAAAATTCACGTGTCCAAAAGACCACCCTGGCCCTCAAGCCTGGCACTGGGCTTTAGGAAGCTGGGAAGGTGTGGAATGCTTTTGGAGAGTTTGCTGCTCTGGATTGTTCAGAGGTGACCCTGTAAGTCTGAGTGCCAAACCTGGCAGCCAGACAGCAATTCTGGTTTTATCTATCTAGACTTAACTGGTGCCTTTATATAGATGTCTTTATCTTGGTAGACCTAAATTATCATCCAGTTCTGCATGGTTTGCAGCCTGGTGTAATGAAAATGAGCGCTGCAAGTCAAAAACTGAAAGCTGTTGAGTGCTAGTGAGTCCTCACTTGGAGCAGTGTGAGACATCATGAGATTTCAGATTTTTCTACATCGTAATTATGAGTGGTGTTGATACCATGAAATTTTCTACCATCCACTCTATGGTGTTTTGAAATTCTCCCTTGCCTAAAGCAGCTTCTCTGGGCAAATTGCTCGGCTTGTGTAATATTTTCTTCTAATTGTAAGGAAACTGTGACATTATTCCCCCAAACCGGAGAGGAAATGATTCGAGCCAGACACACGAGTGTGTTAATTTTTTCTGCCAGTCAGGAGCTTACAGAGTGCTTGGAGGTTGTCCAAAAGCTGCACATCCGGGCCTGTCCCACCAGTGGTGCTTATTCCAGCACATCTGTCCTTGGGAGGATGTTGTTTCTCTTCCCTAATCTGGGGAGGGAGAACAGTGGTGGCTGATCAGGAAACTGGTGCCTTCCGGTACCTGTCTGGCCCTCGTGGAGCCTGGTGCCCTCCCAGGCTGAGACACAGACAGTGTTGGCAAGGGAAACTTTAAAAGAACCCCCAACTTCAATCCAGTCATCTACATGACTGCAGTTGCTGAGTCTCTTCTACCTGGTGGTATCTAAGTGAACTGAGAAGAAAAAAACCACATTCTTGTGTGTACATCTCTCTCCTTCCCTTCTAAAGCTTTCGTGTAAACGAGCCGAAGATCTGGGTAGGATTTTCTAACTTCAGATACATTGCTGCCTTAAGCCTTAAGGTGTTTTTTACTTTGGGGATTTGTGTTTCCTAAGTCATTGCCAGTTGTTTTTCCCTTGTTTGTCTAGTTTGTACTTTGCCCATAATCCTATGTTGAGTTACAAAGGTGAAGAGGGTTTCTGTTCCTCTTTCTGTACATTTTGCTGTGTGGCCTTTTCTTGTAGTTTCCTTAGATTTCCACCTTTAAGACACTGTGCTTCTATAGTTTCTTATTTGAGCTGTCTGTGCATTTTTGTTAATCAGCTGGATCTTTCAGAAGTATGTCACTTATCTCTCTGTTTCTGTAAATGTTTATGGATTCATCCTCTGGTTTTCTTGATCCTCTTCTGCTAACTTAATTCCTTCCAGTTTTAATCTCTGAAAGGCTGGCAGCTGGAGTCAGAGATGAAGTATGTTACTAACCCCTTTGTTGTTGTTTTGTGAGCCTACAGCAATCCCGGCCAAGGAAAAGAATGTTTTGTTATCACGAGTTCTTTCCCATTAATCTTGTGTGCAGTGTTTACGGGCCACAGTGCCTCATCAACCAGCTGCTTGGGATGCAGCCCATTGTAAAGGCACATTAAATGTGTGTTATATGGTGACCTCTGCAAATTTGATTAGTACAGATTAGATTTTGAGCTTTATTAGAGTTTCTGTGCTGTTGACAGCTGCAACTAAGTAATGGGGTGGGGAGACAGAGACTGACATGTGAGAGTAGTTCCTTATCCTGCAAAAAAATCCTGCCTTACTGCTTGCTTTTTTTTTTTTCTGGAAGAGTAACTCATACCTTGGTGGAGCAGGGACTTGGGGTCTGTTTCCATGACTCACTTGAGTGCTGTAACCCTGTGAGCTACTGGCTGGTTTAGGGAGAAGGGAGCAATAAGAGGGATGTTGTTGGAAATATTTAATCTTCTTTCTGGCTTCAACATCAATACTATCCTGGAGCCGGGAAATGTTTCATGACAGAAGCTTCATGCTGCAGTTTTGATGATTACAGAAGGTTTCAGGTCTGAGAAATCTGGCTTTTCCAGAGAGAGGGGATGTTGTCAGGAAAAATTTCAGTGAGCTCACTGAACCACAGTAGTAAAACTGTGGTTTGCTGTTTGGCACTTCATATTGTTCTGGGAGGTGTTCTAGGTCCATTACTTCTACCTTAAATTATAAGCAGGCCTTCTTTTAAATACATGGTTATTACCTGATTTTTTTTTTATTGTGTTCTGACATGATATCGTGGTTTATGAGAAACACCTGTGCTCAGTTTAAGCTGCTCTATGACAGTAACCTGTTTCCCTCTTTGTTTCATCTTCTCTTGTCCTGAATTGTTTCTCTGCTAGACCTGGGCAAGCCAGGATAGCTGATGTTATCTGTTAGCCTGAAAAATGTGATGATGTTTTAGGGCCATACGAATGTTAAGTGGTGTTGACCTGTTAACCTTAGAGAGCAGAACGTGACTTAAAGTCATGGCAGTTAATATTGGGTTATATGAAAACATGTCATGTTGTGGTGATCACAAGGAGTGCCCTGGCACTCGCCTTGACTTGGCAGCTGCTTATTCATTGATCTGGAAGTGAGTCAAGCTCAAGTTCGTCATTCCAAACCCGAATACTTCCTGATACTTGACCCAGCTCTCGGTCAAGGTGATGGGAATTTTTCTAGTGACTTACGTGCCAGTTTGGATGTCTCTGCAGTGCTTTATTTAAGGATCTGTCACAGTGGTTGTACTAAAATGCCACCAGTTCTTCCCTCACTGTCTCCAGTTCACTCAACCATTCATTGTGTCACGGCTTCTGCATCTTGCACTATTTTGCCTTCTCTTATTTCACCACACCTGCTTGCAGATTAAATTTTTCTTAAGATACGTGTGCATCTAGTGGAAACGTGAAATTTATTGAGTACATTGAATGTTGCAGTGTGTTAGCACTGGTTTTTCTGTAGGTTGTGAAACCAAGCAAAAGGAAGATACAACGTCCAACACACTTGGTCTGCAATGCAAAGTATGCACTAGATTGGTATCCAGAAATGTCATGACATTCCCAGAATTGTTCTTTAATTTGATTTGGATTTCTGTATTAAACAAAACCCCAACTATCTCAAGTAGAACAAAAAGATGAAAAAAATTATGCTCATGTCTTAAATTTGGTGATATGACTTGGATTAAACTGGGTGTCTTGTGTGTAGTGATGGTGCTCTTTTATGCACGGGTGTTCAGTAGCAAGATCAACTATTTTGAAATGTTGAGTTAATGAGATGAAATCCTTGCTGAATGGATGATGCACAGGTGGTGACATAATCCTGAAGTCAGATAACTATGGTGGATCTAAGCCTAAGCAATCACTAATAACATGTGATTGCTTTATCTACAGTTCTTTCCTGGAAATGAGTTTTAAAATAACATAGTAGTGGAAACTAAACATGTTCTGAAGCAGCCAATGGCAGAAGAACTGAAAGGGCCAAAACAATAATGTGTTTCTAAAAAGGAACTGTTCCCTACAGCATGTCATTAACTGGTGTAAGGAAGAACTCTGTGGTTGCTGTTGTCTAAACTGTTAATGCAGGAAAAATTGGCATTTTTGGAGCAGTAACGATTTCTCCTGTCGGGTGTACTCAATGATATATTAACCCATAAAGAGAATAAGTTTTTAAAATTCTGAAAAATGACAAATGACTAAAAATGGTATGTCTTGGCTTAGGATTTGCTCCTTATTGATGACTCATCATCTTTGTTCTGTAAGTGATATTTATAAGCATGTTACGCACTCGATGTTAAATCTGAAAGTAGAGATAAATTCTTAATCATGTGCTTGCTCACGAATGGATTGACAGGAAGGTGATAAAATGCTCTTGATTTTATTGATGGGACCATTTCCATGTCCAGGACAAGCTGGGGGGGGGTTGGTCCTGTTGCTGGGACCCATTTGCTAGTTATCCGTGCAGTTCCACTGCCAGTGCGAGCAAGTGGCTGTGTGTGTTAAAGCAGCCCCAGGGTTGGCCTCACTCAACCTCCCCTGGCCCTGGCAGCACTGGCTGTGCCCAGGACTGTGTGTGTTAATGTTCTTGGGGCAATAAACCCCTGTGGAGGCCTGGACAGAGGGAGCAGGGCTGGCCCTGTGCTGTCGTGCTCGGCTCCCGTGGCTGCTCAGCACCACCATAGTTAGTGCTGCCTCAGGACAAGAGCTGCAGTAACGTGTTCTGTAACCTCACCCATCTGTGCCTGATCCATTTACCATGAAGGAATTAAACCATATTTTGAAAAAAACAAGCAAAACTAAATTATTTCCTTACCTGTTGTTGAAGCCTTGACAGCAGCACATGTTTAATTCCAGCCTACCTTTTGATTGTAGGGGGAAGAGTAAAAACATGGAAACGGAGATGGTTTATTCTGACTGATAATTGCCTGTATTACTTTGAATACACAACAGTGAGTATAAAGCATGGTGCATTTCATTTGTAATCTGAATATTTAAGTGGCTAATAATGTGATATTTTCCTAACTTTTTTAGGACAAAGAACCTAGAGGAATTATTCCGTTAGAAAATCTTAGCATAAGAGAAGTTGAAGACCCTAGAAAACCAGTAAGATAGTTTTGTATTTTTTTTTAATGAAGAAAAGTAAACCATATAGAGCTTAATTGTACTGTTAAATGAATATATTTGTCAGGGGGGTTTTTTTATGTTTTAAAATTTATTTCTTGATTTCTACTCTCCAGAACTGCTTTGAGCTCTATAACCCCAGTCATAAAGGTCAAGTAATTAAAGCCTGTAAAACTGAAGCTGATGGCAGAGTGGTGGAAGGCAACCACGTAGTGTACAGAATATCTGCTCCCACCCCAGAAGAAAAGGAGGAGTGGATTAAATCTATCAAGTGAGTTTAAAGTCTTAAATGTCTTTCAGAGCTCTTTTCAGAGTTTGGTACTAACAGAATTTGTTCTACCTCGTTTGAAGAACTCTGATGTTGCAGTGTCCTCTGGGATTAATGACGAGCTCCGTGGGGTTGATGGATCAAGATGCAACTCTCCTGTTACTGTCTGGTCCTAAGGAAATAGTGCTACTAACTCAAATGAGGAAAATACAGATTTATTTTTTTAAGCAGATGTAAAACCTTGTGTGAATTGCCTTTAAACCTAATTTTGTTGGATTCTTACTTTAATAATTATCTTTGGTGACATGTATCTTAAGTGTGTTCACAGGCAGCTTTAAACTGTCACAGCTTGACTTTCTCTTGGAAAGTTTATAAACAGACCCACACTTAAAGAAATAAATAATAATCAAGATGAAGGTATGAACTCTTAATAAATCATAGCTGAATAGCATCTTTTGCTAAAGAAGTATTTGTGGTGCTTAGAAGTCAACCATCCGTTATCTTATTAAGAATGTGGACTCATCCATAGGGAAGAGACAACAAAATAGTTTCAGTTTTCAAAACCAGGTACTTGTTAACCAAACTGATGATTCCTTTTTTTCCTTCCAGAGCAAGTATCAGCAGGGATCCCTTTTATGATATGCTGGCAACAAGGAAACGAAGGATTGCAAACAAGAAATAGAACACAATCAGTGACTTGTAGACCTGCATCAACCTATAAATGAGCGTACAGTGGAGTCATAGTGTAAAAATTGGACAAATTAAATGAAGACAATTACTGTAAATTTTATATATATACACTTTACTATGGCATAAAAACTTGGCAAGACCTTTCAGGGTAAATAGTTACTGGCATATAGTTTGAAGGAAGCTTCAAATCCCAGAGAATTCAGCTGAAAACATGGAAACCTTGTTTTCATTTGTATTAGTTACAACTTCATTTTACTTGGGTTGGGAGGGGTGGAGTTCAGGGCTGACAGTTAAATGTCCTTCACTTGTCATTTGAGAGCATTTCCCATAAAAGGAGGAGTGACTTTAAGACTTTCATCTCTCACTAAAGTGCAGCACCAGCAGTGGAGCACGGCATGATCTGGCACTTCCTTTTCCTGTGAGCAGAACCCCCCCATCTCCATGTGAGTTCCCAAGTCATGTGTGTTTCCCAGGGACAGCTGAGTGCAGCTTTCAGTCAGGATTTCTCTCCTGCCTTTGTGGAAACAGTTTTTCTTCAGAAGTGCAACTAAGCAGACTGGCAGCTGTGTAGGTACCTCATGGTGCCAGAGGGTTTGGTTGATGTGCACTGAAATACAGGCAGGTCCCAGCAGCAAAGCTTTGAGCCTGTAGACATGACACGAAGTACAGACATGCTCTGATATTTGCCAGTCTGCTAAAACTCATTCCTGTCTGCTCATAGTCACAGTAAGCACTAAGGTTTAATGACTGGTTTAATCTGCTTTTTATATAGTAACATCCTTCTTACGTTTTAGATACGTTGTAGTTTAATTAACACTAAGTTAGTATTAAAGGAATGACAGGGCTTGAGTGAGCTTAGGCTTTGCATGTGAAAACACCCCCAAATCATTTCACATGCATTTCCTGTTTTTCAAAGGAAAAAACCAAAAAGGTGAAATCTTTCTGTAGGATGCAGCCCTGGAGAGTTAAGCAAGCAGGAGCCATTCCTTTGCTTGATAACAAACTTTGGACATACAGAGAAGTTCAGTACTTTTCTTACATTCTTTGAGGCAGTTTTTCAGATCTGTGCTTCAGCAGTTGATATTTTAAGAAATGAGGAGACATCCTTATTTTTACTTAAAAAATAAATGGATTACCTAGTGCAGGTAGACTCCCCCATGAGCACATGTCTCTCTGTTGTTTTTGTAATTTGTGGCAGATCCTTGTGGTCCTGCTGATGGGTCTTTCAGGAACATGTCAACTGCTACAGCAGATTTTACTCCAGTGTTTTCTATTGATGGCACACACACTGTTCTTAAGGGTAAAGCCCCTGATTCCACAATGGAGGCAAAAAGTGGCTTTTTTGACCCTACTGCTTCTGTTGGTACTCTGTTTTTCCAAAACTTGTTGAACCTGAGCCCATGCCTACCATGCCAGTGAACACTTTGGAGACCCAAAATGTCGAAGTAGTTTTGCTTGTTGGAGTTACAGGAGCATCCCTGGATCTATTGTAGGGAAATGTGCTGCACATTTTGCTGTGGCAAACCCACAGACTCACTGAGTTGATCCGTGTCAAATCTCCTTTGAACTGCAAGGGAGAGTTGTTTCATTGTTCTGTCTTACTAATTTGCCTTGTTTTGCATGAGTTGCCAGCCTGTGAGTGTTTTGCTTTATTGCATGTTTGCAAAAGAGGCTGAGAGGAAAAGAACAAAGTAAACTTTCCTACACCTTCGATTTTTCCCCAGAGTGTGTGGGATTGCTTGGGTGAATGTTCAAATCCGAGTGCTTCCAAGGGAGTAAAACTCAACCAAAGGAGGTAGAATCCTTGAATAAGTGTCAGTGTGGGGATATATTTGCTTAATGGAACACATTTTAAACTCTTTACAGAAATTATGTGTCTTGTGTTTGCGAAGCAGCACAATGACAGGAGCTGCTGCCAACACTTGTTTTGAGTCTTCCACTCTGCAATGACACGATTTGTTTTCAAGCACTGCTTCCATCAGTCTTAGCTTTGGACAAGTAGATTTGTAATGCAAATAGTAACAAGCCAATCAGTGGTACTTAGTGAACATAAAGGTGAGAGGCAGCAAATAAAAGTATTTCTGGAGAAACGTGAGATTCCAAAAGCATGAATAAGCCATTGAAGCACTTTTGTATCAATTCTTATCTTCTGAAATGTCACCTTTGAGCAAATCTGTGTATTTAACCAGGTGAGGATGTCTGCCTTTGAGCATGAAGGAAATGCCTTGAGAGTTCATTTGCTGTATTTAGTTTTGAAGTTCTTATATCCTGCAGAGGTAATTATTTAGAGTAACATGTAACTGAGGATATTATAGCAGGAAATACATTATTTCTTAGCATTGAAATGCAACATCTTAAACAGCTACTTGTGGTGCTCAATGTATCTATTTAATTTACCAAAGCTAATGGAACAGCCTTCTCGTGTGTGTTAATATTTGATTTCAAATGTTCCTTGTAACAGTATTAACAGGGAGTGAAACTGGCCCAAAATTTCCACAGGCCACCAGGCCAGTAAAACAAAGTGGCTTGTGAAAATTTTGGCCATATCAGGTACTATCCACGAGGGTGAAGAAAAATCTCTCAACCTTTCCCTTTTCTTATTGGGCTTCAAGTCCAGGGGTGGCTACTAAGAGTGGCTGCTCGGTGGCCTAAAGCAGGATCTGTTACAGTTTGGCCATGCTGAGGAACAGTCCTTTGGGGACAACAGGTTCTCCCTTCCTGTTGCACTGAAACTTGGATAATTTTCCAGCTTTTTGGTTTTGATGTTGCAGGGGCAGCAAGAGCCAGGGCTGCTCCTGCCACGTGCTCAGTGTGTGACCCACTGGGCACTGCCAGGGCAACTGGGAGAGAACTGTACAGAAAACTTAAGCTCAGCTGGACTGACTTAAATTTTACAATATTCTGACAAAATAAGCTCAGCATCACTTAACATTTTGAACTGTTTTAAACTGGTACAAAACTGAACCTTTGTAAACTGAGCAGCATTTATAATGCTTCATATATAAAAAAAACAATGCATATTTTTAAGATTTATTACATATCTATGTAGATATGCTTGCTGGAAAAGCTGGGTCTGTTGTAGACCAAATGCTACAAATTAAGACTTGTGGCTTACCAGTTTCATTTCTATATTTTTTTGGAAAATGTTTCTAGCTAGAGTTTAAATATAAAATGTAAATACTGTACAGTTATGTATTGATATAAGTATTACTTGGTGTACACAAGTGATTTGCATGACAAATACTCTGTATCACTGTTAAAAATGTGATGTTCTTATGTAAAGCCACTGCAATATTAATGTTTTCATTTATCATTAAGATCTGTTGCTTAAATCTGTCAGTTTTCTCAAAAATAAAGTGTGAAACTGTACAGTTGTGTATCTCCTCATTTACCAGGAATGCTTGGGAGGCAATTGCTGACTACTTCTTTAGAGAGTACAGTTTAATTTTACTTTTAAGTAAAAGGCCTCTTTTCCCTGCTTTGAGGCACAGTAATTCAAATTATCAGGTTTAATTTTTCAGAGAGAAAACCCTTCAACTGCTGCCACTGAGTGTGACTCCATTAAGAGCTGGTTTCCCTTGAGAGCCACCCTAAATTAAAGTGTTTTGTCAGTTCCCTTCCGTGAATTTCAGTCAAATGTAAGGGGGGGGAAATCAGCTCTCTTCTCCTCAGGTAGATTAATTAGTTTCCTCAATTAGAAAGAGCTGATGCTGCTCCTCAGCTCTCAGGGAAGTGTCACCGAGGGCCCTCCCTGTGCTGCTCCAGAGCCAGGTCAGGCAGTTGTTGCCTCTGGGGCTCTGAACGAGGTACAACAGTCACCACTCCAACTGCTTTGACACATCTGTGCCGGAGTTACTCATCGGACAAAGGACAAGACACCAAACCTTGGAGCCAGAGGACAAAAGAGGAAAAAAAAGCCAGATACAGGACAGGTATGTTGGTTACTTTGCCATGTTACTTTATGTAACGTCACATAACTGTTGCCATAGGAACATTATGCAGGTACACTTATGGTTTGTTTGGCTTTACGGTGTTCTCCATGTACCAAAAGATTAAGTATTTAGTAAAACATTAACCTCGCTCCTTCTTTTTCTGTTTTTTAGTGTCGCACACAATAAAAAGCTACTGCTGAGCTCCCAGCCTGTGCCTGGCTTGGGAAGCTTTTAAGTTCAGAGGAGAAAGGCTTCTGCATCCTTGTCTAGGCAGCTGCAGTCCCAGGTTACCGATCTTCTCTGGGTCACACCGGCAGCATCTTCTCCCCTACACTGAGAGGAAGATGGGACTCCTCGAGTATCGGCCACGCTCTGCCAGCTCCCAGGACACAGTGCATGTTAAATAACTCAAGTAAAACTCAAGTAAAAATCCATTTTAACTTTGCTGTATTTATATACTATATAAATTTTACATGCTATATATTTACAGTGGGGCAAGTGCTTTTTATCTTTAAAAAAACAAAGATCAAACTTTTAGACATCTCTGAACAACACAGCTTGTATAAACCAGACAGATTATTCAGATGAACTGTATTTAATACAGGTTCCCCACTCATCTCCTGATGCAGGACCAGTGAATAATAAGTGCATCACAGTTTGATAGCATTTAATAATAAAAATAAAAATCACAGTATGAATTTGTCTGTAACTAGACACTTTAGAGAGACAAAACAGACAACTGAGACTTAAGACAAATGACAGTATATTAAGAAAATGTAATAAAAACATATGGAACAATATACAAATAGTCTTCAGAGATACATTCAGAACTGCATATTTGTTGTTTCACAATGTTGAAAACCAGAAGATTTTCTTCAGATCTTGAATATAACTCAAATGTGAAGTAAATTAGTTTCTAGTGTCAGACCACAGAAAAAATAAAAATGAAGCTCTTGCAAAACTTGTGAAGTTTTAAATAAGTCTTTAAATTAAATATACAGACTGTCAGTTGCAATTTTTATACTTCCTGGTCGCTCTTGCACCAGATGTCTTAACTTGGAGTAACATTACATGAATAACATAAAGTCAACCTGAGTCTGTAATTAAGCAGCATTTGAGATGGTCTATTCCAGGGCATTATCTCACCTCAGTGAGATATTTATGTGGTAATTTACAATGTTCAGCAGTTGTAAAAAGTTTTCACCCTTTTGGATTAGAAGTATATTTTAAAAAAGAAAGTCTCAAGTTAAAAACTAAAAAAAAGTTCTTATATGGTAAAATCTGTACAGAAATGTTAAGCACCACTTATGACTGGATTTTTGTCTTGATGGTAATTGTTTTGATAATAAATTTTAAGTTTTGATGGTCAATATTGGTAATGTCAGGTTTGAAGGTAAGAAGTCGTTGGTTTTGATGATAAAAAGTCGTTGATTTGAAGGTAAAGGGTTGCTGGGTTTGATGGGAAGAAGTCATTGGGTTTGGTGGTGGGTTTAGTCTGAGTATTGAAGGCTTTCATCAGTCAGCTCCACATCTGAAAGGCAAAAGGAAGCAAGGTCAGTCCCTGTCGTGGCCTTGAACATAAAACTGTTTCAGTGGCTTGATTTCTAACAGAAGGTTCAGAGCTGCCCCAGCTCCATCTGCTCTGTGCCTACAGGATCCAACTCTCTCACAGACTGACCCTGTTTCAGTTCTAGGCTAAGACTGGTGGCCTGTTTCAGAGCATTAGGACAGAGCCACCTGCTGTAATAGCAAGTGCTGGACCTCAGGTAAATGGAGTTTAGCTGAAGCTTTGCCTAGACAGCATCGATGAGGTCAGGCTGACCCAACCTTACCCCCACAAACAGAGCCTGCAGAAACCTGCTGGAGAGAACAGGTAAGGCTGGAGGAAATAACTGCTTTAGAGCTGCTCCTTCCCCACCCTGTATGATTTTGTCTTTCATCACAACTTAGCACTGCTTCTATCCTTATTAATGGATTCGAAGTAACACGAGCCCTGGGGAAAAGGCACAACCTCACAATTCCTTCCCAGTGGCTCCTTGCCTGTCCCTACCTTGTTTGAGAGGTTCAACACTCTCCAAAAACACACTGCCACAGTGGCCTCTTTTCAGACTGGATTCCATCATGCAGAGAATCTTACTTGAGAGCCATTTTTCAAAAAGAATATTGACTTCACACAAGAAGCAGCCAATTAAGATCCATGGATTTGATGAAACACTAAAATTCTCAAGACTTACAAAAATTGCTTCTCCCAGCCCTCCTCTCTCCCTCGTGTTATGAGCAATGAACAAACACCTCCTTCACCTCCACAGCCCAGCAATCTCACTGCTCCAGGACTTGTGCAATGAGATTATTGCACAATAATCTCACTGTACTTCAGACTGCTTTAGAAAAACCCAAGTTTGCCATCTGCTGGCCAGAGAACTCCCTAGAGCCAAACCAGTATTGAGCATTTTACTCTGTTTAGTTCCTATTAGGAACCAGGGCACTACAACCAAGACACTTTTAGTGCAATAAGGGTTATTTTGATATCAGTATAATAAAAAAAAGGTCTATTTTTACAGCATTAGTATTTGAAAGACCTCAGTTCAGTCCTTCTTAAATTTTCCTTGTTAAGGAATAACGGGTGAACAATCAGCTTCCCCTCCACGCTGTATTTTCAGAATGACACTTTTGGTTGCTTATGTCCTAAAAGACAATCAGTTTTCCACAAATGCATTTCCTCTTTGCCTTGAGCAAACTTTTCAGTGCAAGAATCTACTGACTGTGGCAATTTACCTCAATGTGGAAACCACATGAAATTCTGGAAAATTAAAATCTCTTTCAGGATTAAACTTCTCTGAATAGCAAAATGCATTCAGCCACAATGACATTTTTAACACTGGGCTAGTAATGAACAGGATTGTCACTGACCATTAACCCAATTCTTAAAATGTGGGTAGGTGTAAAATGTAGAAAATATAACTATAAAACTTGCTTTTGGATAGTGAGCTGTCTTCTTCAGGGATTACTTCAAATATCCATGTGCAAAACAGATAGCTGGGGGATTGTTCTGGTTTTTATATATCAGTAACTGGAACTGGTTTATGTCAGATAACAGGCATTTTAAAAGGTTTTATTTCTATAACAAACACTTCAGAAAAAATTTCATGGGAAATGCTGTCAAGTTTGATTTTAGATGCTGCATTTGTTGCAGTGTGCAATCTTCTTCATTGCATAATTCTAGAGCTAATTAATTTAATTCATTTATCTACTGAGAGCCCAAGTCAAGATTATGACAAGCAACATCTGGGAGTTCAGTGTGAATTCAGTCAGGCATTCAAGTTTGTATTTTAGTTTTTTTATAAGAAGCACCAAACAGACTTCTTTTAAAATATTAAAAATTGGGAAAGAGCTGCTTCATCAGCCTACTTCTATGTATTTTTAAGCCTGTACTAACAGAAAAACCCCACAACTAAATAAAATAGCAGGAATTTAACATACTCCCCAGGTGTTAAATTGTGAGGTGTCCTCTGGAGGGTTGACAGCTGTGCTTAGGAGAAGGCAGAGCTACACCTGAACCACCAATATTTCAGTATTATCACCAATTTCTGTTACTCTGATAAGCAACCAGCAGTTTCTGTGCTATGAAATAGCTGGACACAGTATTTTATTTAAATCACAGAATGGTTTGGGTTGGAAGGGACCTTAAAGATCATCTATTTCCAACCCCCCTGCCACGATATTGTTTGGAAGCCACAATATATAAAGCAGAGATTTGGTCACAGAAGCATTTAAAGATTGTTCTGAATGAAAAGGAGTCCTGCCAACACCCTGGGCTTCCTTACCTCTGACATACTCATGGGATGCCATGGAGCTGTATTTCTTGCTGTCACCTGCACCAGAAGGCTTCTCTTCCTTATAGGGTTGTTTACTGCCCTGGCTTCTGTATTGCTCACATAAATGGTCATCTGGAGGACGGGATTCTTCCTTCTTCTCCCATGTTTTCTTCTGGAAATGAGGATCTAAATATTCCAATAAGTCTTTCAGTTTCCTGTCGTGCTTCTTCTTTTTCTTCTTTTTCTTATGTTTGCGATTGTCATTGTCAAAGTGGAGCACAGAGCAATCCAAATCATAAAGTCTGAAGGAAACATGCAAGTTAAAAATAGAGAGACAGATGTGGCACTTGATGTATATATGAAATGTTATTTATTTTACCACAGGTGACGACTTGCAGCGTATTTTGTGGTCACTTTTGCACATCTAACTTACTTTAGATGCAGCAAACTTAAGCCCTCAGAACGAAGGACAACAGCTCCTGGTTTGTACACAAATCATTAACAGGGGCTAGTTGTGGAATATGGGGAATTAAAAAAAAAAAATTCAATTTGTAGCCTAATCAAAAACCGTGTGCAGATGTTACTCTGACTACAATGTCCAGCTCTAGTGTCCTATCACAAT